AAGATGTAACATCAGTCCTCTCATTTCTGCTTAGCTATGAGGTGAAATATTGGACAATTACATGAAAAGCTCTGTCTGATATTCCAAATAGTTCTGTGCTTCAATAGGAATATGAAATGAGTTTTGACAAAGGGGTAAGTTTTGGTAAGCTTCTAAATTCAGCGGTATCTATGAAAGAAATGAATATGATCATCTCTAACAGACTTACAGTTATTTAGCCCTTGCAGAAGTACAACTGTGGAGATTCCTAAAAATGCTGGTAAAAGATTCAGTTTTGAGCAGGGGTCAATACTAGTTTTACAGACTGCATATACTGGAGGACTATTTGTTACTGGATGAATGGGTGGATGTCTTCAACTATCATTTCTATTTCACTGTAATTTAAGGAGCAGGAGTCTCTGAGAAAGGATCAACAGTTGGACAAAATACACACCATGCACTTTATTTTTTCTTCCAGGAAGGCAATTCTATAGGCGTTCTATAGCAGGAATGGACCCTTATGGCCTGCATTTTTGTATCATAAGTCTTGATAGAAGCTACTGGGAGCTAGGAGTGATCAGGCAGTAGGAAAATAGCAAGGGCAGGTATCTGGTGACTAAATTCTATCAGGCTCCAATTCCGTGGCCAGTCCTTAGCTGAAAAATGATTCTGAAATCTGATCAAAGTGTGACTGCAACTATATGATTATGCAGCATATATATTGCATTACCAGCTGATCTGTACTCTGCATTCTATCTGATTACCTGGCACAATATGGCACAGACCTCTTCTGTCTGAATAGTAATGTAAATGCATTGACCCATCTTCATTCTTTTCTACCCTAAAAGATGGTGCATTCATCTCCTGAGGAAAAACAAACAAAAAACTCTTCAGTATCTTTTTTTGAGGAAGAAAACTGGTGAATTCCACTTGTACAAAAGCATCCCATGTCTTAGTAAAATAAGCAGTCATGTGAATAAGCTGAATACCAGAAAATTAACTATGCTTATCTGTGAAGGAAAATCTACTGTGCATTAGAGCCAATGGTCTAAATAATATCTAATGCTGAGGACTACTCAGAAAAAAAAAAATATTAAAATAGCCCTAACACTTTGGAGTTATTCATTTCAGAACATAGGAGAGCCTGTTATAGCCTTTTTTCTATTATTTATGTATATATATTTTTATATATTCACACCTATGAGATGCTGCTCCTCGGGCTGCAACCTCTGGCAGAGTCTACCCATACCTGCTCAGTAATTACTAGTTGAACTTGCCTGGTAAGAAAGGGACAGGTAGCTGTGCAATGCATCCAGGTTCTCTATGAACTCATAGAGATTTCCACCCAGTGTCCTCAGCATGTGGTCATAGCCTGAGCGTTTACAGAATTCAAAGAAATACTCTCCAAACTCTCTCAGAACCATGTCAGCAGGAACACCTGGCAAAATAAAGGTACCTTGAAGAATAAGAAAGGAATGGAAGCTCTTGAAATGTTGTCAGGTGGATCAAGAGTGAATGCAGAAAAGCTGCCACATAGGGAAAGTATTCCAAAGAGCACAGGAGACTAAAACCTAGGCTGCAGTCTCAGGCTTAACCCAGGACGGTTCATTTTTTGAGGCACAGTGACACTTACCTAATATTTTGCAGGCTTTGTCAACGAGCTGCATTGTGATCTCATCTTTGTAAACCTCAAAAGTCAAGAAAGAATCTTGGACTCCAGCCTGCAGTCTGCAACAGAGAAGACAATATTCTGGTCCTAGCTGTGCTGTAAATATAACATGCTTGGGTGACTCAACTGGCACTCATTTAAGCACTGTTTGCTGTTAAACCACTTCTCAACCTCCTCCTTCAAGCCTTATATTGGAACACACTACTTCCCCTAATGGTTTAAAGGTGTTGCTGTAGCATGGCTGAATGGTGGCATCTACCTCTCCATTTCTGCTGTTTCATGTTGTGATATTATGGTAAACTGTCTCTAGCATCATACTGTGGGGTGCTCAAGCAAGAGGAGTCTTAGTCTGTCTTCTGGTCTACTGGGTCATTGTTCCATATGGCAAAAATATCAAGCCCTTGGGTCTCCACAGGCTTGACAAAAAACTTATTTTTTTATATTGGCTTCAATGGCTATTGTGTGTTTGTATATAAGCATCATTTATATATCTTTATATCTTAGAAAATACCACAGAGCTCATAAAGTAAGGGCAAAACCAGAGATGATACATTCAGTTGCTTTTCTGAAAGTGCTGGAATTAAACTGACTTCCTATCAAGGATGACATCTTTTCAGTGTAATTACTTCTTGATATTGTCCCAGTAAGCCAGCAAATCTGTTTCACAACTATCTGCAAGACTAAATGTCATCCTTAGTTATCTGATATGACAAATTAATTGGGACAAATCAGTAGAGTGTGAAGGTAAGAAACTCTTCCTTTTGCTCTGCTAGTTACTTCTTATAATTACTTGAGGTACACATCAGCTGCTGTTTATCAGTGAGAAATCATAATCCTCTGCTCCTAAAATTCCTGAGCATTTTCTTTCAATGCACTACATTTATTGGGAACACATTACCTTAGTTTTTCCCATGTTTGTTCACCATACTTTTCAATCACCAAAGACTTCAGGCATGTATTTATAAATCCATACTGTAAAAGCAAACACATGAACATGGAAAAGCCATACTTATTTTCAAAATACAGCCCAAACATGCCATCTTTTTACATTTAAGATTTTATGCGGCAAAAGAGGAAGTAATAACATTTGACAGCAGTTATGCCTTCCAGTGAACATCACAGCCTTTACCTCAGCATTTCACAAGCATTCAGGAAAACAGCGCCAACGCACTCAATTTTGCTGTGCAGAGAAGGGCCCAGAGGCACCAGGTCCGGGATCACCCAGCCTGGAGCACGCTCCCAGCGGGGGCTGAACCGCAGACACGCACCGCTGCAGCAGCGCAGGTAAGTTTGGCTTTGCCGTGACTGTTATTTTTCGCGTTAGTACTGACAAACGGCACGCTCGAGATGAGGGTGGGGGGACGTAGGAAGAATAACCCTAAGTAGCACTTTCACAGCAGCAACAGCCTAAGGATGGTGTGGTTCACATCCCCCAGAGCAACGCGGGTTAGCCTCCTGCTCCCCGCTGGTCTCTCAGGTAGGAGCTGTCTGTCCCCAAGAGCCGTCTGTCCCGATTCCTCCCGCCCATCTCCTCCCGCTGCCCTCCCCCGAGGCAGCCCGGCATGGCCCGGGGCTGGTGGCGGGGCCGAGCTGCCCGCCCCCTCCAGCGGGTCTCCGCAGCCCGGCCCGCGGAGTCCCCGCAGCCCGCCCGCCGCTCACCATCCTGCCGCCGCCGCCGCCCACGGGCTCCGGCCGCCTCCCCAAGCGCCGCCGGTGGCGTCCGCCCAGCTGCTCGCCCGGGGGGCGGCCGCACGGCCAGGCCCGGCCCCGCCGCTCTCGCCCGCGGTGGCAGCCGCTGGCCGCAGGCAGGGACTCTGCCGAGGCTCCCTCCGCCTGCCCGCCTGTCTCTCAGCAGAAAACGTGGGTTTCCCGTAGTTGCCGGTGTTGCAGGAATTCCGGGGGATGCCGAAGAGCATCTCGGTGAAATGGCATCACTGTCACGACCGCAGTTTCCCGATCCCGCTGGTTCCCCGTTGCTGGAGCCTTTGGCACAGCCAGGCGGGACATGGTGCGGGTAGACCCGACGGGGGGCTGCCCAGCGCAGAGGTACACCGGGCCCCACCTCTTGAAGCCCCGGCTGGGCCAGCAGCTGAGAGGGTGACCAGAGGAGGGTGACTCTTGACAAGGCTTTCTTAAAACCAGTCGTAGCAGAGCAGGAGCAGCAGTGGTGGAGTCAACAACCACACATGCCCCAGGATAGGTTTGTAGGGAGAATCAGTGTCTTCCAGTTGGCTGGTGGGTGATGCTGAGACATGTATTGCAGCCGCAGGCCTGACAAGAAGCAGGAGATGAAGCCACTTGCCTATAGCTCACATCATCTAGGCTGTGTTTGCAGCCACTCAACCCATTTGAGAGGGAAGGACAGCAGCAGGGACATTAACAGGAATACAATGATTGGTTTTAGGTGCAATGAGTCAATGGAGTTTAGTGCCTGGCTCTTATCCCTAGCTATCTCATCTCTAGGTTGGGAGGGCTTTTTTGGGGAAAAATTATTCATAGGTCACTTCGGAAAATGAATCCTGAGAGGAAATAATGGAGAATTGTCTGGGGGAAAACACTCTCCCCGGATAAAGATGAGTTCCTGTCCCCTGTCAGCCAAATTCGTACAGGCAGCCCTGTGGGTGATGAAAGCCCTGTTTCACCCACCTTGTTGCTGCTGTTTGATGCTGGGTTGTGGGACCATGTACTGAGCCAGTGTGACAGTCTGGCAGGGAGGGTTTTGCTCATGCTCTGGCGATTCTGAGATGTACTTGTCCTTCTGTCTCCAGTCGCTCAGCCCTCTTTACAAGTGCTGTACGTGTTCAGCATGCACATCAAAATCCGTGTGGCAGCCCCCAGTGGGCATGGGTGCTGCTTTCTTAATGATCACAGCCCTCCCACTAGCCCTGCTGTCCCCGTCCTCCGGCAGCCTCCTCTCTGCTCCCCTCAGCCCTTATATCCTGCAAACACTGGTGACTCTACCACAGCCTGAGTTTCTTCTTAAGAGCTGTGAGGTCGGATCCAGGCTCAGGAAAAGAGAGCTAACGGAATTCCATGTCCCTGCTGTATTCCCACAGCTGGGTTTAGAGGGCTTGCTAAGCATAGAAACGTAACTGTAAACCCCGCTGTATTTCCTGGACAACACCAAGTATTTGTGGAAGCACAGGCGTGAGAGGCCAGCGCGGCAGCAGGTGACTTCTCTCTCGGTTTGCTGTCTGTGCTGCACCCGTGCAAGGTGCACCTTTGCCCGCTGCCAGGCAAGAGGCAGTTCCGGTCCCCCAGACCCCATCTCCACTGCATCCCGGCCGGTGACCCCTAGGGGGTGCTTCCCTCCGCCGGAGCCGGCGCACCGCTCCCGACCCGCTGTTAGCGGCAGAACTGCCTTCGGTACGGCTCACCCCGCAGGAAGGATGAAGACACCCTCGTTTCTGTCACCTTAAACACAGTGTGTCAACGGCGCAGCCGGGCCGGCTGCTCCATGGCAGCCTGCAAAGTAACTGAAACCAAACCGGGTTAGGAGCTCATGGCTGTCAGCGCTATCGATACTAATGTAAGTCACTACGAGGTTACTGATTTTTTTGTGTGCAAATTTTACCCACATGAATCTGCTGCTGCTATGAGTGCAAATAATTTGAGACTAGAAATGACAAATCAGAATGATAACTCTGAAGGAAATGAAAAATTTATAAATTAATTTCTATTATACATAAATAAAACTAATTTTCAGGTTTATAAAACTTGAATGATTGGATAGATTTTCAAGTAAAGTAATTATTTTTGCTTATTCTCTTCTAGTACTTTACTATCTTTACTTTTTCTTATCGTATGCATGACACCTAAATATGCAATCCAATGATTTTTATCAATAAAGATTAGCTACTACCTAAAAGGGGACGCAATTCAGATAAGCTATCCAAAATTCACATTAATACCTGTATGCTAAATCTGTATTGCACAAAGTAGTTCATACTGGAATGAAATTTATCATTATTGCTTTAGCCCTTCTTTGGTTAGAGAATTAATCCTACTATTTTTTCAGATCTGTTTGTTGTTATGAGAGAAAATTGGATGAAGACTCTGCAAGTCAGGATTGTTTGTGTGCAAGTCACTGGGCTGCTCGCCCTTTGCAGTTCATGGCCCATGATGTGCCCTCAGCCACCTCTGTCATCTCCAGCTGAATAACAGAAGCCTTCCAAGTAAGATAACAGAAAATGAGAGAAAAATTAACACTACTTGTGGTATGACTTTGTAAAAATTTTCTTTATTCCTTTGGCAAAATGTAATTGGTGCTTCCTAGAATTTTGAGACCAGCAGTTGTTTATGTGTATAATCACCAGTCTTTAATCAAAGACAAAACACCCTACTTGTTTCTGTATCTCTGCCCACTCTGTATGAAATGAAGACAACAATACTCCCCTTTTCAGTCTGTTACTGTGCTCCAGTGACAGTGATGATGGTCTCTCTCTTGGTGCAGTCTATTCAGGTCTCCCAGTCTTTACTGGGCCCCACCGCAGTGGCCTGACATTGACACAAACTACCACCTGCAGCAGAGCAGTTGTATTTGGGGGAGTAAAGGAGAGGCTGGAGCAGGATGTCTTTAGTTCCAGAGGGCTTCTTGCTTTCCAGAACACATAGGGTGGGTGGGGATAAGCTCAGACAGAAATGCACACTGGTATTCTGGTCTCTATTCTGTGAGGCTGAGCCTTGTTGCTTAATGGCACAGGATACCTTCAGCTGAAGTATGTCTGAAAAGTTGCGGGCTTCATGTGTGCACAGCCTATCCTCCCATAGCTAGCTCAGTGTCTAGTGCTGAGGATGGGGTCAGCTACTCAGCAAGTGTATCAGTCCCTTATAAATTGCTAAAAGTGACGTGTCTAGGAGGCAAATGGCAGCCTAGAGCACTGTACTGCTAACCCCATAAAGTCCTGCAACCCTTCCCCGCAGGATGTGAGAAAACTTGTCTTATATTTCTTTTGCCTTTGTGGCAGAAGATCCATTAATTTGGAAAGGGGGTGCTGTGGCCTTGCAAAAAAGATACTCACCCATACCTGAAAAAAATAGCTATACTGGAAGTCAATTTCCCTTGGCCTTTTGTTGTGCTTGTACCCAGCTTGTACTAAACAGCATCCTTGAGCTCTAAGTAGTTCAGCAAAATAAATGGGCTAGATGCAAAAAATATGCTGTTTTTTCAATAAGATGAGAAGCAAAAATATGCAATATAGCAATTTATAACTTCTGGTTACAGCCTTGGAAAATGCAGCCATAGACTTTCATCGTCTGCGTATGCAAGGATGTCCTACTTTTTACTTCTTTTTCTTTCTGTTGTGTGATTATTAGCAACAGTGCAAAGCCATATGTTAGTCGCCATGGTGGAGGGGCTGCTCCCACAACCGTCTGAGCAGAGCACATTCTAAACATTGCCGTCTGGAGCCCCAAATACCACAGCAGTAACAGAATCCTTTCTCCAAGTGGTTGCCAGCACTCTCTCCTACTGAAGACCCCTAGGACACAATCCTTTTCTGCATACTTCCTTCAAATGCAGCCTCACATCAGTTGTTCAGATATCATGCGTTCACATTTGTCTTGAATTAGCCTGAACAGTGACTTTGTAGTGACTCAAAGAGAAAAAGAATCTGTCCTTCTACCAACAGGAACCAAAAAGGAAGTTTTATATATGTATGTATTGGTAGGCTTCCAGTACTTCACACGATCAAACCACAAGGACAGCTGATGTAAAGTCTAGATTAGGAATAAAAATAAACACTGAAGATGTGCTGCCCTGCATAGTTCAGATGGCTCCAATTTTTGAACTATATATATAAAAACCCCAACAGTTATATTTGAATTCCTATTAAAGACCCTGAGCAAAATTTAAATGTTATTAATGTAGATGAACTCAACAGCAGTGAAATTGTACTAGTGCAGGTTTTATCCTCAAGAAAGCTTTCAGAACCCCAATTCTTCTGGTTAACTGTTAAGATGAGCTGGTGATGGGAGGCTGGGTCAATAGTATTTAAATTGGCTTTGCAAAACTGTTGGGAAAAGTTACCGGCTCAGGTCCAAAACCTATTCACATGTGCCCTTTACACACTGATGGGAGGGAATTGAAGAAAAGAATGATTTGCTCTAAGAGCTGGTTCGCCTTTGGCATCGTTCCTTCTCCCCTGGCTTTCCACGTGTGCTGCCATGGAATTTCTTTCTCCCTGTGCATGACCTGTCCTGGCACTCATCTTCTCTGAGCTGGGGAAGTCACGGCTGCTTCCGTGAATGCATGTGTCATGAAGCAGGCGAAACAGGCCCTGTGGGTATGTTTGCTGTGTGAAACTTTCTGGTTAAGTCTTTGTGCATGTTCCTCTGGGTATTTTCTTTAGCTTGCCTCTTGTATCACTACTTACGTTCAAAAGCTATCATCTAATATCTTTGTTTGCTACACAGAAAATAGCTCATTACTTGTATTTTTGACTCTGATTGCTATTTAATGAAATTTGTTCCAGCTTTAACATCACTGCAACAAGCCACAAAGAATCATTTGTCTCAACTGCCTGAGTCAGGCTTGCTCCTGCTGCAGCTCCCAGACGGCACAGTTATCCAGGAGACAGGAAGAATGAAGTCAAGAATGATGCAAAAATGGGTAAAAGCCAAGTCTCATCAATCTTTGGTGCATGCTATTACCTCTGCATTGTTCTCTGAGCCATATAGCTCAAATGTATTAGCATACAGACCGTGAAAGTGGGGCCTCACGATCCTTCTGGCTTTTTGGGTTTTAAGCAGGAGGTGTCAGAAAAGTTACCACAAGGATAACTGGCTTGTGGTGGCCAAGCATTCATAGCAACATCGCTTTTTGATCTTTCGATGTTGAGTCTTCCTATCATTGTGAAGCAGAATTCACCAAGTGTTGGATTGTTCACCAACTAATAGGGAACGTGAGCTGGGATTAGACCGTCGTGAGACAGGTTAGTTTTACCCTAATGATGATGTGTTGTTGCAATAGTAATCCTGCTCAGTACGAGAGGAGCCGCAGATTCAGACCCCTGGTGCGTGTGCTTGGCTGAGGAGACACTGGCGCGAGGCTACCAGCTGCGGGCTTATGACTGAACGCCTCCAAGAACCCTCCTAGGCACTTGTTGTGCTATTGCGTCATTGGTCACTTGTGATTGACCCAGGAGATGACAGTCTTGTTCAGAATGCATGGGTAAAGGTCTTCCCGAATCTTCGTTAGTGAAGATTTCCTTCCTCATAGGAGAAGGAAAACTCCTATCTTCAGACCCGGGCTGATGGAGCTCATCTAGCCTTGTATGGTCTTCCATAGAAGAGAAGGACACTCTTACAAAACCTAAGACCTGTGGACTTTGCTGTCACCGTCCTAGCTCGCTAGGCCGTGGCAGTTAAACCTGAGGTGTAAAGGGTGGGGCCAGCTCTGCGCAAGCTGTGCTTCACCTAAAAAATGCACTGCGCAGGCTGGAAGGGCTCACTCTCACTTGTCTGTGTGGACGGGCGAGGGTCTAAACAGTAGGTGACAAGGTGCATGGGAAGCTGCAGATCCAACGCTGCATGTGGGTGGACCAGCGCATGGGTAGCTCGAGTTAGCTCAGGAGTTGACAGTCCTGGTCAGACACTTCCTGATTGCCTAAGCAGCCTTTTTGCCAAACAGATTTGGATATCCCACTTGCCCTTAGTCATCGTGCTTGTAGTAAGCGCGGTTAAAGCCCTTCCCAAATCTTTGCTCATGAAGCCAAGCCATCAATCAATCACTCAATCAGTTAGCATATGGAGCTGTTTGGTCGCTTTCTGGTGTCTTTTTCCTTTGGAAAAGTAACTACAGACCTCAAGGTGCTTATAATAGTGCAATACCAGACCGTGCAGGCTGTGCTGTTAAACAAGGTTGTACCTGAGGAGTCTGTGGTATATTTCTCTTCCATCCCACCAGTGTCCCTTCCCTGTGCTTTGAAAAGGGGGCTTTTCAGGTACTATTTGTGTCACCTATCATCCAATAGGTGAAATCAAAAAGTTCAGCTCAAGAGCCTAGAGCAATTTAGCAGCACATCCCTAATAATGTCAAACCAGTAACAGGCAAATGCTGGCAGTAGCTTTATTTGGCTTTAATATTGTGAGAAATTGCTGCATTACTTTTGGAAATGATAATCCATCTATCCTCCATTGTGGCATAGTAGATATCTGGGGTTTTGTTCTTAAGAGGTAGCCTCAGGTTTCCTGTAACTGTTAAATTGCATATCTTATTGAATATGCTGATGCCTTTACTTTCCTCTTGGCTGAATTCTGTCCCACCCTCCATTGCATCCATCTCTTTCTTTTAGTAAGCTTTCACCTTGGCTACCTTTTCCCACCAAACCACTTACCATGGATGCTCTCTTGGCACTTTAAATGTAACATTCCTCTTCCTTGCTGCTTTTACTCCTCTGAGCAATATTTTGCAAAAGTATTAATTATACAGTGTGCTTAGATACATCATAGCGTTATTAACAAATACATGTTTACTCTAGCTTTCCTCGTTTGAAAGCTCCTATTTGTGAGCTATATCCCATGTGTTATCTTTGACTGAAAAATACCTGGATACATTCTGTGCAAAAGCAAAGTGTAACATCCTTTTTGTCAATGGGGGCAAACTGTTCTACAGCTTAAGAAGGGGAAAAAGTCCAGCACGGTCTCAGTTTTCAAAGGACTGCAGTTCCCATGATCCCCACAAAGAATTGGACGTGAGCTTTCACAGTGATGCACATTGAGAAAATAAGGAGGTATAAAACAAATTTCCCTTGCTTAAGCAATAGAATTTTGTACGTAATTAGGGAGTCTTAAATAGGGAGTAGTAAACTCTCCTGGAAAATCCAGGTGGAAATCTGTGTGATGGTAAACTGCGAGAGGTCCAACTGAGAGAGATGGCTAAGGAGCTCTAAGGAAACTGTAGATTTCAAGTAGAAGGGCTATTAACCAGGAGTGTTTAAATGTCCAAGTAAGGATGACTAACAAGTTACAGGAATGTAAGTTTTAAGTAAAAAAGCTTAGATTCTAGTGAAGTGGAAGGAAAAGGAAGACTGAAAGAATGAAGTGCTTGCCTCCATGCTCCATGTGGGCCCACGGGTCTTTAAAGGCACAGTGGGATGAAGGCTCCTATTTTTCCTGCACCAGGACAAATGCTGTGATCAGGAGTGAGGAGTTGATAGGTGCTGGTTGGTTGTTA